GGGGCAACTACTCCTGCCGCGTGTTCAACCTCTTCCACGAGGTGTGGAGCCGGGAAGTGGACGTGGAGATCGGTGAGGGCCCTGGAGAAACGGCCATGGCCACCCACCCCACATGGGTTGTCCTGGCTCTGCTCTGCCCCCCGTGTAAAGCCCTCCCGTGGCTGCCCTGTGGTTCTGGGGGGGCTCCAGCCTGTGCTGGGAGGTGTTGCTGGGCATGGGGCTCCCTGACTCCCCCCTTTGCTGCAGGCCCACGGCTCTTCACCTCTGGAAGCTCCTGGGAGGAGGGGGACGGAGGTAGGTGGGGGCAGCACAGGCAGGTCCCCACTGCTCTGTCCCCTGAGGTCCCCAGGCACTGTGGGGCCGTGGCACGGCGTTTCTCTCTTTCCAGGCTCCCCGGAGCACCGCAGCCCCGGCCAGCTGTATGGTAAGAGCCCATCCAGGAAGGGTTGGTGGCTCAGTGGGGCTGTGACCATCCCCAGTGTCACCACTGTCACCCCAAGAAGCTCCACTCAGCCAGGGGTGCTTTGGGTGCAGCATGCTGGGGAGAGTGGACCAGCAAGGCAGGGACACCACGGGGCACCCCGGTGTCACAACCGGGTGTCACCTCTGTGGGCTGAAGGTAGTGGGGACAGCAGGAGCGTCCCGCTCCGTCCCCAGCACCTCCCTGTCCTGTCCTGGCAGCCACAGACAAAGTGGCCCTGCTGATCGGCAACATGCACTACCTGCACCACAAGCAGCTGAAGGCACCCATGGTGGACGTGCACGCCCTCAGCGCCCTCCTCCGCCAGCTCGACTTCAAGGTGGTCTCGCTGCTGGACCTGCGCAAGGCCGAGATGCAGATGGCCGTCAACGAGTTCCTCCTCCTCCTCGACAAGGGTGTCTACGGTGCGGCGGCACCCGCCGGGGCAGCTCCAGCCAGGGGGGAACTGGGTGGTTTTGTGCTGGCAGCGGGGAAGGAGACTGGCCAAGGGTGGTCACCCGCTCTCTGTCCCTCCCGGCAGGTTTGCTCTACTATGCCGGGCACGGCTACGAAAATTTTGGCAACAGCTTCATGGTGCCCATCGACGCGCCCAGCTCCTACACCTCGGCCCACTGCCTGTGCGTGCAGCGGGTGCTGCGGAGCATGCAGCAGCGCCGCACCGGCCTGAACATCTTCCTGCTCGACATGTGCCGCAAGAGGTGACCTGGCCCCAGCCACCAGCCCGGGGACAAGCTGCCACACTGGGCAGTCCTGGCACAGGGGTGCCTGTGGGTGCTGGCTCCCAGGGGAACGGAGCAGGGCATTCCCAGGGTCCCATCCAAACCCACTGGCTTTGTCCAGATGCCCCAAAGCATCACTGCTCCAGTTGAGCTGCCGAATGCCACAACGGGGCGGGGGAGAGGGTGTCAGAGGGGGCACAGGGCAGCCCCCGGGGTCTGGGGTGCCTTGGGGTGGATTTTGGGCTGGCGGCAGGTCCCGCCTCTGCCCAGCAGCACTTCTCTTGCAGGAACCTCAACGATGACATCATCCCGCAGGTTGGGGCACTGCAGGTCACGGCCAACATCGTCTTCGGCTACGCCACGTGGGTCCCCTCCCCACCACCTCCCTGTCTCCCTCCCTGGCGCAGAGTGGGGCTGGGGCTTAGCCCTGTTTGCTCCTGCGTCTTCCCCCCCCCCTGCAAATCAGCAGTGTCCCTCCCGTCGGTTGATGCTGGAGGTGGTGGGTGAGCAGCAGCCCCCAGGCCCTTACATGACAGGGGGTGCCAACGGTGCTGCTCAGCTTCGGGCAGCACCCAAGGGGATTAAGCCCAGAGGCTCTTCTGGAGCTCAGGGATTTGGGTTGATTGTGCTTTAAGCATCCAGGATCCGTCCGTGGCTCCCACCTCTCCATGGCACGGTGGTTGGATGGGTCCGTGGGAGCAGTAGAACTGTGTGTGCCCAGCTCTGACTTCCCCAGGGCTGTTGCCC